GCGTTAGCACAAGCCCCCAGCCAGGCAAAAAGAGAGAGAGAGAAAAGGTGAAGGAGGCTCAGGGGAGAAGAAGGCAGCCGAAGATGGCCCCATGCCTCCTGCCCTCGCCGCTGCCCCGAAGCTGCCGCCCCGAAGCGCAGGGCAGCCGAGCAGCGCAGCCCCTTCCCCGGGGTTCTCCCGCAGGAGGGAAAGCTGATTCCTGCCGGGTGGGAGCTCCACAAAGGCAAGTTCCAAGCTAAAGTCTTTACCGTGTTCAAAGAAAAAACCAGCAACTCCCCCCCCTTCCAGCCTCCCCCCCAGGACCGCCTTCCTCCCCCTCCACCCTCACCCAGGCTGCCCACCCCTTCCCCACGTGTGTGCACCCCCCCTCTGCTCTGCCACAAACGCCTGCACCCACCCCTGTGCCACCCCCGGGTGGGGGCTGACCCCTGAGGCCCTAATTCATCCTTCCAGCCCCCCCACCTGCTCCCAAAAGCCACCCGCAAGGTGGGTGTCGGTCCTGGACCGCTGGCAGGTCCCTGTCCCCCCCACCCGTGAGCCTCAGGTCAGTGCTGCTCTCGCCGATCGCCGTTGCTGCTCAGTGCCACCCACTCCTTCTCAGAGCAGCGCTGGCCCAATCCAGCCCGGTCCACCCCCAGCTCTGCTCAGAGATGTCTGTGCTGTGCTTCCAGATGAGAGCTGCATCCATCCCCCTCTCTGCATCCTCGTCTTCCCCGGGCTGGGGATTTCCTCCCCAGACACTTTTGTCTCCCTCTTCTCCCCATCCTACTCCTTTTTAGCCTCTTTGAAGGGGACACTGCGCTGCTGCACCCTGATCTCTGCCCCATGCCCCTTCCCTGCCCTGTCCACAGCTCTGGCTCCTACAGCATCATCACTGCTGCACCCAGGGCCAAAGCATCTCAGACCCCACAAACCCCTCAGCCCCACTGAGGCAACCCCAGAGGCATTTTCATCATCGTTCCCCTCTCCGTGTCCGTATAAATTCCCAAAATGAGAGCAGGAGTCGGGGTGTTCAGCCGTGTCTGGCCCCATCCTGACCCAGGGCTGTCCCCACGGAGCTGCCGTGTCCCGGCTTCCTGGCTCTGCCCGTTGGTATTTGCCTGGAAATGTGTCTGCATGGCACAGAGCAGCAGATCACCCCTGAGCCGTGATGTGGGGACCTTGGCTTGATTTATCTGTGTACATCTTGGCTCGCTTTCTTTGCCCAGGGCCCAAAGGAGATTTTTAATAAACCTAAAATGAGAATTGATAAATTGCAGCTAAAGGCAGGAGCATGCGGCTGGCTGGCTGAGGATGCAGCGTGGCTTGGTAGAGAGTCTCAGCTCATTTTCCTTTTAGGTGGCAGGGACCTTGTTCTGCTGCTGTGACATTTAGGAGCACAAAAGCTGTTCGGGTTGCGTTTTCCTTGTCACTTTTTCCTCCTTGTTTCTCTCCCTGAAGGGCTGCCCGGTCTGCAAGGGCAGTTGGCAGTAACTCACTTGCAGAAGGGAGACGGAAAACCCTGATTGAACAAGAGCATCTGCTCGTATTTAACCTGAGAGTCAGGAAAAATCCCCACGGGAAACCAAAGCATCCCCGGTGCCCCAGCCCGGGTGGGGAGCTCCTCTCCCCAGCTCGCTCGCGGGCTGGAGGAGTTTCTGCTCCCTCTGGTGGCTTCAGCTCCAGCCTCTCCTCTCCCTGCACACCCGAGCATGGATTTAGGCATCTGCACCCACCGCCCTGGGTTGCAGCCTGCGGTGATGGGGCACCCGAGGCCATGGGGTTGCTTGGCTCTCAAACACCCCCCTGTCTGCTCCTTGCCTTCATCCAAACAAGGACCTCAAAACCCAGAGCATCCCTTGGTCTATCCACCCAGGTCCAGTTTCTCTCTGACTCTTGGGGCCGTATCCAGCCCTTGGGGCAGAGAGCAGCGATGGGAACCCACGCTCAGCTCAGTGAGCCCCGCAGTGCCAGGAGTTAACATCACGGCAGCGTTTTCAGGACAAGCAGCACCTTCTCGCAGTCAGCAGGGAAATTCAGTCCAAATGTGCTGAATTAAGCTCATGCCATCCCTGTCCTCAGGCAGGATGAGAGCCCAGGCCTTTGCAGGCAGGTCAAATACTTCATTTTGTGACTTTTTCCTTCTTTTTTTCAACATTTTTTGCACCATGCTGGAAACAGGGACTGGAGTATCCCAGCTCATGCTGGGCAGGGAGTTTCTGTGTCCCTTTGGATGAAGCAATGGGAAGAATTTACACTTTCCAGTTTGGGCAACTGGCTGCTTGGCAGGATGAGTCCCCCAGCAAAGAGGACCTGCGAGATCAATGGCAGGTCAGATCTGTGGGGTTTGCAGAGCAGAGCAGAGCAGGGCTCCCATGTTTCTCTCTATAGAAATGGAGATAAATTCACTGTCCCTTCCAGGAAGTATCAGACATGCACACAGGATATGTGGGGACAGGCTGCTGTGTGGCCAGAGAGTCCCATGTCATGGGGAGAGGACAGCATCCCTGGAGGGTTTTAAAAGATGGGGAGATGAGGTGCTTAGGGTCATGGTTTAGTAGTGGACAGGTTATGGTTGGACTCTTAAAGGTCTTTTCCAACCAAATAATTCTATGATTCTGTATTTTCCAGGCAGGATACATGCAGGAAAAGCAGGAATTTGGATGCCCTAACACTGGCAAATGGGGTCTGCGGTGCAAGATGACTCCGGGATTTGAAGTAGAGCAAGACGTAGAGTCCCTTTGCAAGCAGGTAGTCCAAGTCCCCTTCACCAAATCCTCATGAACAAGTCCTGGGGAGGGAGTCGGATCCCAGAACAATGATTCCCCACAAAACGGAGCCCACGGAGCCACAGGAGGGCAGCAGCACCCTGCAAGAACGGTGGGGCTGGGACGGGGGGGGGGAAGCAAAGAGCCATCAAAACTTCTTTTAAAGCCAAGAAATGTCCCCCGTTCCCGAGGCAGAGTCCACATCTCCGTCCCGCCCTCGCAAACACCGTCACCTCTCGTTGAGAGCCGCACAGCTCTGGGCAGATGCCGATATCCCCATCTCTCCCGGTGTGGGGTTGTGGTTTTCGTACAGCACCTTGCACATCGCCCCGCACCTCCTGGCACTGCCAGGCTGCGGTGCAGCTCTTGGCACCCACACGACCTCGTTTTCTGCTGCCTGGCATTTCTGTGCATTGGATCGTCCTGACCAAGGGTTGTGTCATTACTGTCCCCAGTTCTTGTCACTGCGTGGGACCGAGCAGCCCAGGGCTCAAGGGGAACAGCCCATCTCTGCCTTTTGCCCCTCAGATTGTATTTTGAGTGCCTCAGTTTCCCCATCTCTGAGAAGGACCTTGATATTGCAGGGGAACAAGATGTTTATCAAACCCCTTTGGGGAGGCACCCACAAGCAGCTCAGGCATTTCAGTGGGGATAACTCCTGTGCAGATCTGACCCTCTGTACCTGCTCAGTATAAAAGCAATTTCTGAGGACACAGAGAGGAAAAAAACATTACAAGTGAGAAGAAAATCAGGCCCAAATTATCTGACCTAAAGCTGAACTTCTCTCCCTTTGCAATGTCCATGTTCGTACCCAAAGTGCTGGTTTCACCAGGTCCAGTTCTTGGCCGGGTCTCCCTCAGCTCCCAACTCCTTTTCAGCAGAGAAATTCCCATTTGCACCAGTGCTCTGGGAAGGGGAGCTGAGAACCCACACTTTCATATCGGTATGTATTTGCCCTAATGCCCGTTAAAGCCTTGAACACAGAAGCAGCTCAGACTGTAAAACCCAGGCTGCTGCCTTTCATGCAAGAGTTAATAAAAAGAGGGAGTGAGCAAGATTTTGCAAGGAATTAAACCCAGGCAAAAGAGCCTATGGGAAAGAGCCCGTTACCAGCCCCGGGGCTGTAGGTCACCAGTGTATTTGCTGCCAGGGTTTATTAGATCCTTGTCTGAGCTGAGAGAGCGAAAAAAAGCATGAGGAGCTGCAGGCAGGGCGGGCGGGGGCACTCCCTTACTCAAAACTGAGTGACGAGAGCAGTTTCCTCCGGCCAGCCCCGCTCGCCATGTGTGTCATACACCCAGACTCATGATTCATCTCCTGGACCGCTCAAAAACCTCCGGCCGCCCCAGAGCTGCTCCCCATCGCTCACGGCGGGGCTGGTCCCAGCAGCCCCCCAGGCTCGGGGCTCGGAGGAGAAGATGGGAAAACTCTGCGCGGCTGTCGGGATCCTCCTGCTCTGCGCTGCTGGCGGCTGGGGTAGGTTTACAGCCTGGAGAGCTGTCGCTTGCTTAAAGTCAGGTCATTTTTTGATTATACTGCCTGTTATTTCCCAAAATCCCAGGACTTTCTGCATTCCCAGGGTCTGCGATTTCCCGGGAAAATCGCTCGGAGGGGGAGCTGGCAGCCTGAAACCTCGGCATGGGTCCCAAATACAAAGCACCGCTCGAGTCGGTTGGGCTTCGGCTGGGTCAGGAGTGGGAGGGTTTCTCGAGGATGTTCTCGGGTCAGAACATGGTTTGGTGCGGGATTCTCCCAGTGGGTGCGGCAAGTTTATATTATCTACCTACGCTGTGTTTGGCTCCGGGTACTGGTTTGTAATGGAAGGACTGGGGTGTGACTCGGGCTCCGTCCTTAATAAACAGAAAATGGGCTGGGGGGAGTCTGCAGGGCAGGTCGTCGCTGTGTTCATGTCATTTTTAGGGCATGGAGTATATTGAAGTCAGCATTGCTGTCCTGTGTTAATTTTTCTCGCGCTATTTTGGTGCTTTTCTGTAAAAACCCTGATTTCTGG